GCTAAGGAGTTTGGACTTGCTTCGGTTGGTACTCTGGAGTCAGCGGAGGCTTTGCGCCTGCGCCGTGAAATCCAGTGTGTTAGACTGTTGATTTGGAGATGGCCTGAAGGACAGACAGCGGGGAGGACTTGACACAAGGAGGTTGGTTAGACATTGCTCTGCTTTTGCAAGTAGTGCAATATGCTCATGCTGTACAGGAACTACTAAGAATAGACAACAGAAATAATGTCCAGCGTTTAATGGAGCGCTTGTTCTGGTCCAAGCATTTTGCTAAGTGCTTTCATACATGCATTACCTTATGTGATGCTCCTGTCAGCTCTTAGCTGCTTGCATACTGTTACTCACTTGATGGGGAGGGAAACTTGAATATCAGAAGTTCAAGTGAGTTGCCCAGGGACACATCGGTAGTTAGTGATGGTGTCAGTATTTGAACCTATTACCTGGCTGAGGCCATGCTTTTACCCATTGAACTCCAGCTCAGTGATTTTTAACCTGCAGTGTGCATCAGGATCACTTGTGAACTCTTCAAAACCATACCTGCTTTAGTCTCCTGTGTTTTAGAATAGACGAGAGCTTCAGACATGATTCCGATTTGCATTCTTGTTTGAGACCTACTCTAACACCATCACTCTAAATGGCAACATTTGTTGAGAAGCCATGCGTGAGGGAGAGGGAGACAAGTCCAAAGGAATTTCAGGGCTTAGCGACTCAGGGACTAGAATAAAGGGGGTATCGTTGCCTGAGATGGGGACATTGAGTTGGCTTAGGCAGGGAAGGCGGTATATTTGTTTTCATTTTGAATTCAGTTTGAGGAAGGCATTTGAGTGAGCATTTTGAAGTTGCAGGCATTAGAGAAGATGGGGCTAGAGAAATAAACGGAGGTGTCATAGTGCTGGAGTTTATCACCAAGGGAATCTGTTCAAATCAACCATTGGCGCTTTCCCTGTAGGGGTGAAAGGAGAGGGCTTCAGACAGCGTTGGGGGGATCCAGAGCAGTGCCGTACGAAATCCTAGGAACAGCATGTTAAGGAAGGAAATGGCAGTTCGGGGCTTCAGAAAACCAAGAAGGATGAAAATCAACCTTAGCAGACTGTGTTTGGTCTTATTTTCCAGTTGATTTGAAGTTTCTAGTCTTACAGTCCTTGAGAAAGTGTGGTAAGAGGCGTTTAGGGAAGTGTGGACAGAAGACAAGCTACAAAAAAATACGGAGGTGCTTTAAAAATAGTGGCAGTAATGTCCACGCAGCCTGTACTGTTACTGCTGCCTCCATCCCCACCCCATCCCCACACTGCCTTTCTGGGAAGGAACAGAGTCCGCACTGTCTCCTGGGGAGACTTCCCAGGCAGTTCTAGTGTCTGGGGGAGAGCTTACTGCGTGGAGCCTACTTTCATTTCCCGTCTTCTCAGTTGCAAACCACTGGGGTAGCATAGAAGAAAGTATTCTGTGCAGTTTGTTCCATGTGAGAACAGAAATAAGATCGTGCCTAAAATTGTGGTGCAAGATCAGGTGATGATTGTCTCTTGAGAGTGACTCCTGGTGGATCGGCGGCGTTGCCTGCAGGATGTGTCCGATGCCTTTGCGATGCTGGAGCGGTAAAAAGATCGAAAACCATTGGTTAAATTTCGTTCATGCTGCATAGGTCTCTAATTGCGGGATATATTTGCTTGCTTTTTAATAAGAGACATGTCGTTGCCTAGGTTTCCCTTAAACTGTCTTCTGTGTTTTACAGAAGTATGAAATGATAAAGACAGAAGAGATCCCCAATTTGGAAAACTCTAATTTTTCTACTAAGGTCATAAAAGACATTGCACAGAATATTTTATCGTTTCTGAAATCGAATTGTACCAAAGAAGGGCATACCTACTGGCTATTTAAAGGTGAGCCAATTCTCGGATGAGTGATTGATTCGAACGACTGCTGTAAAATGAAGTTTATTTGTTTTTGTGTTTGTTTTTTCAGCAAGTGGCAGTGACATAGTGAAGCTCTATGATCTCACTACTCTTTGTGAAGAAACTGAAGACAAATACCAAAATCCATTCACAATGCCAGTAGCTATTCTCTTATATAAGTGAGTGCTTTAAGGAGTGAAGATGAGGAAGTAGCCTTATGTAAAATTTTAAAGTGTACAGCCACACTATCTAAGCCAAGGTTTTTAAATACTTTCAGTTTTTCATAGTTTAAAAAACAAAGTATATATGTTTGTATGTATGCATATGTGTATACGCACTCACATATGCACATACAACAGACTATACCAAAATAAACTTGGGTGGGGGTGTAAAATACTACATTTAGTTGTTTCTTATGGCCTTTAAACACTTTTTTAGGGTTGCTTGCAACATGATGATGAAGAAGAATCAAAATAAGAAACACTATGGGACTATTAGAACATTGCTTCTTAATTGTGTTAAACTGTTGGACAAAAGCAGGCATCCTCAAGTAAGATTTACATGTATATGCTCTCTCAAAAAAGTTCTAGCATTCTGACAAGAGAATCGTTGCCTGGTTCGTAATCTGTAAATACCTGTCTGATATGGTAGCCAACATCCACATGTAGCTGGTGAGCACTTGAAATGTACCTACTCTGAACTAAGATGTGCTTTAAGTATAAAGTACAGAATTTTGCAGATTGCGTGTACACGTTGCATGTTGAAATGGTAATGTTTTGTAGTTATTGGATCTAATATTAAAATTGATTACACGAGATTTTTAATACGGCCACTAGAATATTTAAAATATCGCGTGGCTCGTGTTCCGTGTTCCTCGAGTCGCACTGTCCTGTAAAGGTAGCGCCCGTTGCAGTGCTTTCTTCCCTTTGTTTTATCACCACTTAGAGGTGGAAACCGATTCTACAGTATCTCAAGATCTGTTTACGCAAATGGACATCGTTAACCACTGTTAACATAAGTAGGGTTCACATCCCGAACTTCAGTATATAAAGGCATCTCTTAAGATAATCCCCCATCACGTGCCCCACAATTTCACAGTACCCGTACTCTCAGGGGTCTGAATGTGACAACTGTATTTTTGGTATAAGGCTAGTTGTAGCCAATTTAAAGTGGAGAAGGTATGTAGTATATACAGTTTTTTTCAGATCTAAGTTTTTATCATAGCCACATCCAGTTTAGAAATAAAGATTATCCTAGAGACCAAACCAAGAGAAACCCTATTTTGAAGAAAAATGACAAGTTTCAGATTGAAATATCTAATGCCGATTGAGATGGCATTTAGTGTACATTAAATGGTGTAAAGAGATGGCATTTAGTGTACATTAAATGTGAAAGTTAGAAAATAATGTTACACCTATTACATGTCTGCGATTAAGAATTAATAACAGATAATAGAGTGAAATAAATGGCAATATATACATTACCATTTTCAGAGGTACCAGGATAAACTTTTCCTCATTGAGCTATTGGGAGTTTTTCCCTTGGAGTCATCCTGGATTGTGTAGTAAATGTTACTTGTCTGTAAGATAACTTTTAATTTATAGCTTATAAAGAGAAATTCTGGTTTTTCAGTTGATAGGGAGTGATATCTTGCTAGTATATTAGTTATGATACCCCTTACATAAAAACTTCTGTCTCTAGTGAAATGCATACTCTCTTCTTTAAGGGAGAGGGCTGGGGATGGAATAATTTCTGGAAACAAGCACGTCAGCCCATGAGGATGTTTCAGAGTCCAGGGTATTCGTAACTGAACCGGGAGCATGTCTGCATGTGTCACAGGCTGTGGTGGAACCCCACTGTTTGCGGGCCTCCTAGAATTAGCACAGTAATAACTATTCCACCTCAGCGCCCCCAGTTTTCATGACAGCCACACGTATTTCCTTTTCTTTTTATAAGATTATCGCTTCGGCCAATTACATGCTTTCAGAACTTTTCCAGTTGGATGAACCTAAAAAAGAAGAAAGTTCAGAATCTCCTTTAAACGAGAATTCTGATGAAAGTTACAGTGAAGAGGAGGAGGAGACGCCGGACAGCGATGAAAACGGACCCTACGGCTCCAGCGCCGACCCGCCAGACGATAACAAAGCGGTAGCCATCATTAAGTCTGTTGGCGAATTGTCAGTTCCAGAAAAATACAAATCCATCCATCAAATCAGAGTAAGCGTGTTAAAATTTATATTCCAGTGTTATCGATGGAAAAGCAAATAATCATTGATTGAATACAATTAGCCTCTCACAAGATGGCATTACTTCAATAACTCCTGCGTGGTCCAGAGTCAAGTAATCATTAGCTTTATGAATTCTGAGACTTAGACCTGCATGCCGACCTGTAGTGGACACATCGGTGTATTAGTGATTACCTGGGCAGGGTGGCTTGTTGGTTCATGTGTGGGGAGGTCTGGTACGTTGTCCCTGTGCTGCAGGACGGTACTTTCTCAGTGACTGGGCCCACGTCATGTCGATTAGACATGTCTGTCCTGGTCAAGGCCAGCCAGACTCCGACAACTTCCTCCCCATCAGGGTCCTGTCGGTGTGGGTCGTATCGACCTCCTACTATCAGTCTTTTTCCAGACAGTATAATCAGGTTTCAGTTTTCTACATTAATTACTTTCCAGTCCTGCCTCCCTGTGATCAGATCCAGGTCAGCCTGGAAAGAGCTCGGGCTGTTCCTTGGACTGAAATACCGTCATATTTACAAATCATCTCTTAATTTAGGCTCTGAGTTTAACTTTCCTACTTGGAAACTGTACATCCAAATAGGTTTTCAGAGGATACCTCTCTGTCAACCTGAAACATTGCCTGTGTTTCTGCCCTTCTGTCCCTTCACTCCCTCTCCTGTACCCGGCCACACTGCCTCTTCCTGTCTCTCGGGCTCATCAAGGTCACGCCCATGTGAGGCACTGGCATCTGCTGTTGCTTGTGCTCAGAACTTAACCTTCCCGGATCCTTTAATGGCTGCCCTTTTCTAAGCCTTGACCGAAGGTCTCTGAGACCTCCCCTGACCATGCTAGCCAAAGCGTGCTCTTTCTCTCTCCCTCGTAGAGATGTTCTGCGCCCGACGTTCTTGAGTTTGTCTCCGTTACTGGAACGTAGGCTCGGTGAAGGTGTGGACACTCTCGTGTCTCCCATGTCTCGAACACTTAGAGCTCGGTAAACATTTAAATGACTGCAGGACAGAGTTATTTACTGTCCAACCGAATTTCAGTGCTCTCTCAGCCTGAACCCTACAGTGGAGTAAAAAGTTTTTCTGATTGTAAACAAAATGATTAATTCTAAAAGTGACATATATTTGGGAAACTGCATTGTAACACAAGACCAGGAGTTTATGAGGCAGTTACGTGATAATTAAAGATGTAGTGATATGTTAGTTTACAGTTCTTTAAAGAGACAGTGCTTTTTATCAACATGTGAAGCACTCAGAAAATGCAGTCGTAGTATGCACGTAGTGTCTGGTTTGCTTTGCCTTCTTGGTGTATGTTTCGAACCATGGAGTCAGCGTGGCCCCAAAGCCACAGCTGCCGCCCTCACACTCTGTGTCCTGGGACAGATGACCCAACATCTGTGCTTCTCTGTACAGTCAGAGCAGTAATTCCGGCCTCGCGGGATTCACCGAAGTGAAATGCCTCCCAGAGGCCCTTGCACACAATATCACTTAGTAGGTGGAGGTCGTTCGCTGGTTTTGCTCCTAATTAAGCATATAAATTACACAATGAAACCATTGGTGATGCTCGTTAACTTACTGCTAAACTGATATTGTAAGTGGTGTTACCAGGGATCGGTGCTAATTAGAAGCTGAGCTGCCCTAGGAAATTAGATGCACACTTCTCTAAGACATGCCCACTCACGTGTACCTTTTCTGTCGTAACAGAATTATTGAAGCAACATATGTGATGCAAGGTCTTTCTTTAAGATTTTTGTCAGTTAATCTTATATCAGTTTAATCTGCAACTAAATCATCGCTCTAATGTAATCATTAAGTACATTATCTCACTAAACTGAATAGGTGAGCCAATTTTGAAATTGTGGATTGGTACAGTTTTAATAATTGCCAAGAGATGAGAGCTGTGGAATTCGTCACACTGATGGCATAGTACTAACTTCAAACGTTTGTTTCTGAAGCCCAGTTGTGCATTTCCAGTTTGCCATGACACAGAAGAGCGCTGTAGACTGGTGCTTAGCTACGTTCTGGAGGTGAGTTTTGGTTTAGTCTTCATTATTTCAGTGAAATTTGTACTTGATATGTAAATAGCACTTGTTTAGTGGTGTCTAAATGTTATTCTGTATGATATTCTGCTGTGACCTTTTTACTCTTTAAGCATTAAGTGAAAATTAGTTTTTTTCAACTTCTTTAAGTCAAATGTAGTTTTTTTAAGTCTTTTTTCAAAATATAAATTTTAAACATATTCAGATATTACCTTATATTTAGTTTCTAGTTGACCTTCAGTTACATGTTTAGTGAATGTTTCTCCTTTTTTTTAAGGGTTTAAAATCCGTAGACAGCAGCATTAAAAAAGAAAGTGACCTTCCTGCAGCTGACCCCAACACCCCAATCCCATTAAAGTATGAAGATGAATCTACAAGGGGGGGTCCTGAGGGTCTAGAGAAGCAGATGGCCCTGTTTTTGGACAAGAGTAAGTTGAATTGATGCGCAGATAGGCCTTTAGTAGAATAATGTACTAGTCTTTTATCAACAGCAGACTTATGTCGTTAAGGCATTCATTGAAAGGAATTCAGAAAAGGGATATCATGTGAATGGGAAGTAGGGGAAAATGTCTTTTCATTCAAAATATAAAACAGCCAGATCATTCCGATCCTTTATGGGTATTCCTAACGAGCACACTAGGAGCCTGTGGGACTACGGCCTTCAGCCTGGCAGGGTTCTCCTAACAAATCACTCTTCAGCAGAAGTGGTCGTCTGTCTGAGAGCACAGACGTGTGAACCAGACTGCCTAGTTTCAGCTCCTGGTGGTTCTCCATTTTTTAGCCTTGTTTTCTTTCGAAATGGAGACAATAATTGTGCCTACTTAAAGGATTGTTAATGGATTAAATGAGAACATATGTAAAGTGCTTAGAACACTACATGTAGTAAGCACCGTAGAAATGTTAGCTATTGTCATCTTGTGGTACTTAAATAAACTGGAAATGTCACTTATAAATTACCTGTTACTTCTGAGTTACTTATAAGTGCTTTTCGGATCTTCTCTTCACGAGCATCATTTGGGGTTGGGGAGTATGTATATGTCCCCAGCGTTTGCCTCGTACTTCCTTTGTGCCCGGCTTGAACCTGGATGCATTGAGGAGAACCATAGCAGGGCGTAAGAGAGTTCTGTGCCTTTTTCATGTGTTTTGTTTTTTTTTTTCCTGAAATGGCTTTCTGTCTCTTCCTCCCTCCCCGTCTCAGCTGTTGAAAATCCTGCTCATGTCACGATCTCCATGCTCACCTCTGTCCCCACTTTGAAGGACCTAACCCCTTACTGTTCAGTCTTGTGAGCACTTACTGAATCCTGATCTACAGCTTAGCAACTGTTTTAAGTTTTACACATGTGCAGTTGTGAGCCAGACCTTCATCTTACTCACTGGTTTTCTCACACCTCACACACATAATATGTGTGTAGTAGAGGAGGAAGAATGACTTGCATAAAAAAATAATAGAGACTTCATTGCTTTGAAAGACTCATGTGTTGTAACTGATCAAAAAAGTGAGAGATCTTGAGCCTGGGAGACTGGGCCGCATTTTGTTCTTATCTCTGAAATTGCACTTATACTTTGTTGTGGTTTGTTATCAGCCCTTCCTTCTAGTCTGAGATGTCTTCAAGGATAGAGCCACATAACTTCATGTCATTGTTTCTGGTGCCTAGCATAGTGCTTGGCATAAAAGTGATCGTTTGTTGGCTGAGGAAGGTAGTAATGGGCTAGACTTTAAATAAAGTGTATCCTGGTAGAGGAAACAGTCTGCTAAGATGTGAAGTAGGAAAAGCAGGCAACTCTGGGCAGTGAGCAGTAAACTTGACTTTGGCCAATGGCTTGTAGGGCGGAGTCCAGGGAAGTGAACTGAAAAAATGCGACTTAGGAACTGGGGAAGATGCTTGGACGTGATTTACTAAGTGGTGAGAAGCCATTTAACGCTTTAGAACTGGGGTTCCACCATGATTAAAGCTGTGCTTTAGGGAGGTCAAGATTTTGACAGATTGACACCTGGACTGGAGAAAGGAGGCCGATGTCAGTCATGAGTTTTGTCAGTGACCCTGAAAGAAAGCGACAGAGTTGATTGATGGCTGCGGAGAAACAGAGGCCTTAGTAAATCTCTAGGGCAAGTATGTTGAAACACTGTCATTTTGCTTCATGAGGGTGAAGTAGGAAAGCACGGTATTCACCAGGTTTTTTGTAACAGTAGTACCTAAGGCTGGAGTGTTTCTATTAAGAATCAGAAATTATTTTTTACAGTGAGACTTATATTTAAATAAAATGTGCTGCTTTTTTCCCCTCCATGCCGTAGTGGGCTCCCTTCAGAAGGGCAATTATTCCAGTCAATCTGGAATGATCCCTGGTTCTTGGCAACATAAAATGAAACTCCAGCTGATTCTCAAGTCATCGAAGGCCTATTATGTTTTGTCTGATGCTGCCATGAGTCTTCAGAAATATGGACGAGCGTTACGATACATTAAATTAGCTTTGCAGAGCCATGGTAAGTCACGATAAATGAATACATTTTGGTAGGAACTGGGAAGGGATGACAGAGAAGGCATCTGAATGACAGTGAAATTTTACTCATCTCTTATAATTTTTAATTTTAAAACTACTTTTTCCAGCATTTTATCTAGTGTTTTCTGTTCTGAGTGGTTTAATACGTCTTCATTCTGAAATACATGGAGCCGTGTTTAATATCTGACAAAATAAATATAGAGTAGGAACAGCGATTTTCTTAATACTTACTGTGTTCATTAATTTGTAACACTCTTATACTTTTTTCTCCTTCCTCTTCTTTTCACATAGATACTTACTGCTGCCTCTGCACCAACATGCTTTCTGAAGTACTGCTGTTTCTTTCTCAATATTTGACACTCTGCGGTGATATCCAACTAATGCTGGCCCAGAATGCAAACAACAGAGCAGCCCACCTCGAAGAGTTTAATTATCAGACGAAAGAGGATCAGGAGATATTACACAGCCTCCACAGGGAGTCCAGTTGTCAGGGTGGGCCAGGAGACACATCATTTGATCCACATTGGCATTACCCAGTTCAGCTTATGTTTATTGGACTATGTCCAGAAAAGTGGCAGAAATGTTAATATTTTGATATTGCTCTTTTTGTTTATTTTTTAATTTTTAAGTTCACGATCCTGTGTATTGGTATAGAAAATGGTCTTGAAATAGCTTTAGTAATTACACATCTAGTACTAACTATAAAATAAGCTCTAAGACAATTGTGTTGACTTCTTGCATTTGTCTTTTCGTGAGGTTTTTCTGGGTAATCCTTGTAGTCAGCTAACCAATCCATGATTTCTTTTAAAAAGGAGTAAAAATAAAAGTAGATGAATTACCTCTGAATGATTCCTGGGGGCTCAGAAACAAAGATCATCTTTTTTTGAAAGCTTAGTTCATAGATATTTCACTGAGTGTTCCACTCTTTTTGTTACCAGCTTTTAAAACTGGGAAACAGGAGGGTTTAGTTCAGGGCAGCAGCAGAATGCTCAGGACGGCGCTCTAAGCACACCGCAGTTAAAGCAGTGAATGAGATAGAAGGTCGATCTTTTGTAATGTACATGGAGTTGTTTAATTATACTCTTAAGTTGTTTATGTAATTGGAGGATATCCACCTCCCAGAAGGTTTTGGTTAACATCTAGAGAAAGGCATTGGGGGAAGTTTATTCTTTGTTTTTTTTTCTTCCTTTTCTTTTCCCTTCTACTTATAAGTTTCTCAGATTATCATTTTATTTTAATAGACAACAGTCAGAAAATCTTCAGTGTGTTTTTACCACCGGATCATATTATTTTCATTTAGAACACTACTTGGTGAGAGTGACCTTCTCTTAGATACTTGCTCAGCACCCAAGTGTACTCCATTCCCCACTAGATGGCATATGTAGGTCTTTGACAGTTTATCCAGTGCCTTCTCCAGTGAGTCACACTTACACTGACAAACTGTAATGTACGTAACAGTAGTGATTCGAGCTTCATTTCAAGAACTGTTTCTATTAATTCAAGAGAAAAAAACAGCTTACTCAGCATCAGTGGACAACTGTAGGTCTATCCCGATAAGCAAGTGTACCTGGTAAAGTCCAGGTATGGGTAATTGATATTTTCAGGCAGGAAAATATTTAATCAGATATTAATGTCCCAAGAAATTGTAGTTTTTCTAAGTAAATTAAGAGATCTCTGCTTTGATACTTAAAATTTTAAGTGTATTGATTGAATCTAAGTATGTTTATACTATATTGAATTTATTCGTTATTGTCTTAACAATACCAGATTACTTAGAGACTAAAGAAGGGTTTACATGACTCACGGTAGTGTTTCTTTTTTTCTTTTAAGGATTTGCATGGGCAACTGATTTGTCTACAGACTTAGAAAGTCAACTTTCAGTTAGTTGTAAATGTTATGAAGCTGCTAATGAAATCTTGCAATTTAGTGACTTAAAAAACCAAAATCCAGAACACTATGTACAAGTATTGAAGAGAATGGGTAACATTAGAAACGAGATCGGTGTGTTTTATATGAATCAGGCCGCTGCGTTACAGAGTGAGAGAGTAGGTAAGTATCTGGAGTTTTCTTGTTTGTTCTATTAGAAAGTCACGCTGATTTTCTGCGGTTCAATCAAAGAACTGCAGTGCTTGATTTGATGTCATAAAGAGGTGCTCTGTTAAAAAATACTCTCAAGAAATAAAATTAGGGAAAAGCATTTCCCTTTGAGATTCATCATTTCAGTGTCCTCCATCTGATGGGTTGAAAGGTGAATTGGATAAGCAACCTCTGCCAGGCTCGGTGCTGGATATGTGCCGGCTGAAATATAGTTCTCCCCTGAGTCGAGAGCCAGATACGAATATAGTACCACAGAAGAGTGGGGAAAGGAGACATGTATTGACATTGCGGGGTTCTTGGGAGGCTTTGGGGAAGAAGGTGTCGTTTGAGCAGTCGGCACGTGATGTGTAGGATGTCAGCGGGCAGATAGGGAAGGGGAGGGCTGTCCACTGAGTAGGCAGCATTGGGAAGGAGCCAGGGGTGTCAGTCTGGTGGGTGCTAGAGTAGCAGCAGGTCTGTCATTCAGAAGATGAGGCGTTCGGCTGGGCCCTTGTTGCGTTGGAGGTACTTGTGGGCAGGGCGGTGAAAGGTCTAATTTAAGTAGCCAGTTACAACATGTGCTCAGGGACGCTTAGGTTAGCAGGACATAGGCTGGGAACCATCTGCATAGGGGAGATAGTTGAAGCCATGAGAATGGATACGAAAGTAAAGGCTGGACACAGCGAGAAAGGTAAGGGGCTGAGATGGAACTGAGGCTAGCAGGTGAGTTGAAAGTGTTATTATGTGCTTGTTGATCTGTGAACTGTGCTTGACATTGGGAATACAGAGAGTTCCTTGCCAGTGGAAGAACCTGTTTTCTTAAGAAAATTTTTGGGGTGTGTGTGTGTATATATGTATATATATGTATATACATGTATATACATGTATATATACATATACATATATGTGTATATATACATATATGTATATGTATATATACACACACACATACACATACACACACACTTTTCACTTCCTTTCTTCCTTCCTTCCTTTTTCTCCCTCCCTCCCTCCTTCCCCTCTCTTCCTTTCTTCCATTGAGATATAAGAACCTGTGCTTTTAAGGTGCCTCTGGAGAAGGAAGTCAGCAAAAGAGTGTGAAAAGTGGTAGTCAGAAACTCTGGAGAATTGGGTGAAACACAGACTGCACCTCTTAAAGCCCCATGGGACCTTATCTTTTGAATCTTTGTAAAATAGTGCTTTGCTCAGATGTGTTTGTTTGCTCACTGTAGTATCAGCTGGTTAATATTGAAGAAGGCTGTGGTCGAGTGTCATATTAGTTTGCTTGGCTGCCGTAACATAAAACCACAGACTGGGTGGCCTAAACAACAGTTATTTCTCACAATCTGGAAGCTGAGAGTTTGAAATCAGCTGTGGCTACTGTCCTTCGCTTGCAGATGGCCACCTTCTCACTGTGTCCTCACCTGGTCTTTTCTCAGTGGGTGTCCCTGGTGTCTGTCTCTTGTAAGGACACCAGTCATGTTGGATTTGGGCCCCACCTTAAGACGTCATCTAACCTTAATTACCCCCTTCAAGGCCCAGTCTCCAGATACAGTCACATTTAGGATTAGGGCCACAGCACAGATTTGGGGGTTCGGGAGGGCACAGTCTTGTCCAGAACAAGTGTGACAAGAGCGGTCAGTGCTGCTGATCCCAGGTGGCCGCCGTCCGCCAGACGCCCTGTCACTGCCAGGCTCCTCTCGTTGCGTCGAGACTGGTGGGGTTTACACTGACTGATGTCTGCTTATGGAATTTTTTCTCTTTTTTTAATGAAGTGAGCAAAAGTGTGTCTACTGCGGAGCAACAATTGTGGAAAAAGAGCTTTTCTTGTTTTGAAAAAGGAATTCACAACTTTGAGTCAATCGATGATGCCACAAATGCTGCCCTTTTATTATGTAATACGGGAAGACTGATGCGAATCTGTGCGCAGGCGCACTGTGGCACAGGTGACGAGCTCAAGCGTGAATTTTCGCCGGAAGAGGGCATGTATTACAATAAGGTACCGTGCTTGCTCTCGCGTCGGACCTCGTCCACCCACGCCTCCCTCATTTACCTTGGCTGTCGTGCCACTAAAATATTGTAAAATTAAGATAATGATGAAGGCACAAGACTAGACAGATGATTAAAACCCTTAGAAACTAGCCTAGAGTACTAAGAATTTGGTATTGAAGATGACATACTGAATTGGTAGGGAAAAGATGATTATTCAGCAAACCGTGTTGGTGTAACCAGAGTAAAGGCAAATGGGTTAGAGATGGATGCGGAGAAGTGAAATTATAAAGCTGCCAGGAGAAACTATAGCAAGAAGTTCGTTTGATGGGCCAGGAAAGGACTTGCCCAGCATAACACAATAAGAAGCGGAAATCACAAAGGAAGGGATGGATAAATTTAAATGTGTGAAAATAAAGTTTTCTAAATGTGCAACAGAAAGCAACATTGAAGAGCAAATCACAGTCTAGGGGGACTCTTTATAGCACACACGACAGATCAGAGGTTAGTAAACCCTTGCCATTGCAAAGGACAGTTAAGAACCATTGAAAATAAACTGCCCCAATAGGAAAAAAGGCAGATAACCCTGAACAAAAAATTCATACATGTGAAAAAAGCAAATGGTTAATGTGTAAGGAAAATTTCAAAATTTTAATTTTTATGGAAGTTAAAAATTGAGTTTATTGCTTGCCAGATATTTTTTGGGGGTCGTAACCTCTGATGTCGGCGAGACTGCAAGAGAGCAAGGGCGCGCATTCAGCCAGGCGCTGCTGTCCCCCGCTTGTGGAAGAAGGCTTCGATGAAACCTGCCCCAGTATCTCTTTTTGCTAACTAAAAGAAATTTGAAGAGAATTTTCCTTTTATGAAGAAAGGCGAAAAGTGAAAACCGCATTCAGCATGTGTTTTGCAGCAGGCATTACTGGGGCAGAGTGCACCGGAGCCGGAGCCCCACCCCGCTCTGCTCTTCCCGGGGAAGCGCACTCTGGTCTTGGCATT